GCTGCTTTAAGATTCTCTCCTCTTTAATCTTGGGTAATGTAATTATGATGTGCCTTGGTGTGTGCTTCCTTGGGTACAATTCTTTGGGACTCTCTCAGCTTCCTGGATTTCCTGGCAGTCTATTTCCTTGGCCAGATTAGGGAAGTTCTCCTTCATTACTTTTTCAAATAAGTTTATAATATCTTGCTTTTCTTCTTCTCTTTCTGGCACCCTTATGATTTGGATGTTGGGACATTTAAAGTTGTCCCAGAGGTTCCTAAGCTTCTCCTCATTTTTTTTTAAATTCTTGTTTCTTCATTCTGTTCTGGTTGAATCTTTTCCTTCTGCTCCCAATCACTGAGTCCCAATTTCATGCCCTTTACTGTTGGTTCCCTATGTATTTTTATTTCAGTTTGCATAGGCTTCATTTTTCCCTCCATTATGTGACCATACTGAGCCAATTCTGTGAGCATTCTGCTTACCTGTGTTTTGAACTGTGCATCTGATAGGTTGGCTGTATGTCCATTGCTTAGTTCTATTTTTGGAGCTTTGACCTGTTCTTTCATTTTGGCTGTATTTCTTTTGTCTCAGTGCACCTGTTACATTGGGAGGGGTAGAGCCTTAGGTATTTGCCAGGGCAGGGCAACCCAGGTCACTGTGTTGTGGCTCTTTATGTTGGGGAGGGATCCAAGAGGGAACAATGCCACTTGCTCGGTTCTCGTCGGGCTTTCAGTCACTTCCCCTGCTACCCACAAGCAAATTGAGCCATCCTAGTGCTGATACCCAGGTGGGTGGGTTGTGTACATTCTAGGACCCTGTGGGTCTCTCCAACGGATCCTGCTGTGAGGCTGGGAGTTTCTCCTTCCACCACAGTCTCCCACAGGTTTTTATCTCCAGTGGTTTTAAGGCTTTCTTTTCCCTCACTGAAACCCTGGATTGTGTTGTCTGTCTCACTCCCCAGCTGTTCCTCATGATTTATCTGCATGCAAATGTGGTACCAGACAGTCCTCTAGCCACTGCCATGTGGCCTCTCTGCCCCAGCTGCCTGTCTCCGCCACTCCTGCTGGTCTGGATGAATGTTTCTTCTTTAGACCCTTTGTTGTTGGACTTTCATACAGTTCAATTTTCTGGCAGTTATGGTTATTTTTTGTTTTTAAATTTGTTGTTTCCCTTATTTTGGTTGTGGGAAGAGGCAAAGTGTATCCACCTACACCTCCATCTTGGCTGGAAGTCCCATGTTAAGAGCACATTTAGATGGCCCATAAATATATGAAAAGATGCTCAATATCACTAGCCATCAGTGAGATGCAAATTAAAACCACAAGGACGTAACACCTTACTCCTTTCAGAACAACTATCTTTAATAAGTCAACAAACAAGTGGTGGTGAGGATGTGGAGAAAAGGGAACCCTAGCGTACTGTTGGTTAGAATGCAGACTGGTACAACCACTGTGGAGAAACAGTATGGAATTTCCTCAAAAAATTTAAAATGGAACTGCCTTTTGACCCAGTGATACCACTGCTGCGAGTATACCCTTAAAATCCTGAAATACCAATTCAAAAAAAACCCATGCACCCCTATGTTCATAGCAGTGCTATTTATAATAGCCAAGTGTTGGAAACAGCTTAAATGCGCATCAGTAAATGAGTGGATCAAAAAACTGTGGTACATTTACACAATGGAATACTACACAACAGAAAGAACTAAGGAATTTTTATGTTTTGTGACAGCATGAATGGAACCAGAGAGTATTATGCTAAGCAAAATAATCCAGTCAATGAAAGACAAATACCATGTGATCTCGTAAGAGAAATCTAATGGACAAAATAAACTAATGACTGGGCATCCAGAGACATGGAATCATGGAACAGAATGGCAGTGGCCTGAGGGAACTGAGGAGGTCATAATGGTGGAAAGAAAGGCAAGAGATTAGTCAATAAACATGCAGGAATGACCCACGAACACGGAGAATGGTATGGTGATTCACTGTGGGATGTGGGGACTGGCTGGGTGGAAGGCAAAGGGAGAAAAATTGGGACACCTGTAATCCAATAGCAATTAAAAAAACAAACAAACCAAAAAACCTTCAGTACTGAGGCTTTGGCAATCTTTCCTTAGGCCTCCTGGAATCCAAGTCCACTTATAATGGCCATAAGTTGCCCAAGGGCGTTTAATGCAAGAAACTGCTCCTTTTGTCCTCATGGTATACACAATTAAAAAGCTGCCTACTGGGCTTTCCTGAAAACAAAGGCTCTCAGAGACCCCAAGCCCAGGACTCTCAACACCCAGATGCCCATTATGCTTTCAGCAATGGAAAGAGCAACCCACAAACTTGATACAGCCACCAATTCCTTCTTAAGAGGCGATGGATCCAAAGCTGCACCCTCTGGAATATTGAGGATGGATCCAAACCTGCAGCCTCTGGGGTGGTTTCCCCAGTTCTCAGTCCCTTGCCAGATGCCATGGGATTACAGGAGTCTCCCCTACCCCATACTCCCATTGCTACCTATGGGAACCCCTGGATTAACTGAGTGAGCAGCAATGGGAGTTTTTAGACAATAGAAGTGACCCTGCTAAACATGATATGTTATGAAACTCAGTGGAACATGCTGCTTCCCCTTAGCCAGGATCTCCCTGATAAAGGATGGGACCCAAACAACACACTTGGCCAAACCCCAGACAGTCATTTTAGCCCCAGATTCACTGGTCAACGAATGGCCCCGTTTTCACATTTACTACAAACTGCCGTTGCCTAGTTGTTGTTCCCTTCAGGGTGAAGAACCCTTGTAATCTCTTACCTCAAAGATATTCAAATATAAATCAAAAGCACCTATCTATGATTTACTAAGGCCACAATACAAAGCCTTTTTGAGATACTCCTCATTTCCTTCAGAGTTACAGACATTACTATTAGTAACCAAAGCACCCATTATATTTCTCACAAACAAGCTGGGCTCTTGGAAAATGCATTCAATAAAACTTTCATGTCGCTGATGCAACACAGATTACCAGTTTAATGGAGACATAGTGGTATTCTCAAACAATTTTTCAAATCCATTCTTGCGAATGGACATCTTGCGAATGGACATCTTGCGAATGGACATCTTGCAAATGGATATCTTGCCCAAGGCCTTAAACTCTTAATTCAAGGCCCCTTGGCTGACTCCCACCTCACATCTTTTAAAACCTCCTTTTCTTTATTTAAAGGGGAATATGCCTTGCCTCCATGTATATACTTGTTATGAGTCCCTTCATTAGTGTGTTTTTATATTTATAAAATTTTTACCTTGCCTCCATCCCTAAGCACACTTATAAAACAAGATTTCTGAAGGTAGGTATTTCCAATCTAGGCTAACCAAGCAGCTCAAAGATGTTTTTACACATCCACACTTTTTCTGTCTTCTGTTTTTGTCCTTAGGCTTGTTCCCTTGTGGTTGCCAGATAGCTACCATATCATCTTTTTTCAAAACTGTGTCCAAAGACATGGAAAAAGAGGAGTGTCTTCTCATAGAACTTTTTACTAGGGAATAAAACCTTTTCCAGAAACCCCTAAATAAACTTCCCTTCATTTTATTAACGAGCATTGGGTCACATATCTGTGGTAGACAAAATAACTAATGTTACCATCCTCCAAAGATGTCCACATTCTCATCCCCAGAATGTGTATGACTGTATATGGCAAAAGGGACTAGGCAGATGTGATTAAGGATTTGGGGATGGGGAAAACGTACCCTAGGTTATCCAGCAGACTCAACATAATCACAAGGGTACTTAACAAGAGAAAAGCAGGTGAGTTCAACTACTTTAAATGTTGGAGCTGAAACCACAAGTCCACTTTTTCTTAAATTTTTGAACAAATATGATTCAAGTGCTATCTCAAATAAGGTGGGAAGTCAATAACTTCCCCTAAATTCATGAGTTCCTGGGAGATATGGAAATTAGTGAAAGCCATCTAAACAAGAACAAGCAGAGGCTCTTTACTCAGAGTTTGCTAGACCAAGAGACTCGGCGACCATCACAGGCATCTGACTGATACTCAAAAGCAGGCAGGGGAGAGGGAAAGTTTGAGTAAAAAAAGAATGACCCAGGTATGCTGTGTTTGAAAGTTGGTGTTGGGAAACTGAAGGTGAACTAACTAGCAGGTATAACTCTGTGATTGGTTGGGAGAGCATACTTGGCTTGCTCTGGTTGGTCCTGAGGTGGAGATGGGGAAAAAATAGAGAAGCTGGCAGCTACTGACCAAGTCTTGACCATCCTGGGTGAATGCTTGCACAGGTCATGGTTTGGCTTCCAGGGCTGGTTACTGCAGAGGAGGTGGGTCAGAGTTCTATTATCATCTACAGTCTGGCCATTGTCCAGTTGTACTTTCAGTCCTTTAGAAGCTGCCACTAACTCCAGCCACCTGTTGCCACAGAATGCTATTTTCCTTTTAGCTCACAGGACTCCCCAGACTCGTAAAGGACCTAGCTATGAAGTGACACAGAATCTGGGTAGGGGACTAAGCAGTCAGGCTTTAGTTCTCAGTCAGAATCAAGCAGGAGGGAGAAATTTGGAACTAGTAGTTTGGAGAGTTGTAGCCAGATATGATACTAAAGGAAATCAGACAAGTTGAAAATTTGGTACAGATTAATAATTTTGGCAAGACTGAAAAGGCTGCCACGTGAATGGCATATACAGTACTTCACAATTCTGTATAGGTACTCTGGTGAGAGATATGTTTACATATTTACATCACTTACTGAGCACCCACAGGTGTGAAAAACTCTGAACTATATATACTGTGCTTGAAAATTTGAAATTCCCAGCTAATAAACCTCAGTAACTAGGAGCCCAGGTAGAAGGGGTTTGTCTGTTGCTACTGATCCCACTCAGTTTAAGAGTGGGGGTTCACTGTCAACTTCAAGAAAATAACAAATATAAGCAAGTTAAAAGCTTTAGACAATTGCTAATGAAGGCCATTAGCAGCATTAACAACACAATGGTAAATGTTACAGAAAACATCTTTCAGCATTTCAGGTTAGCCAAGGACAATCAAAGACACTGCAACAATATGTGGTGAAAAATCACTGTTAGGGTACTTAAACACTGTTTTATTTTCCTAAATCTCACAAGCAGAAAGGGCAACCTCAGATTTGTGTGAATTTGGCAGTTTTTCATAATCATGATCTTGGAGAAGACAAACATTTCTTAAGCAAAATATGCTAACCATGAGGAACATTGATAAACTGTATAATAAAATTAAAAGCTCCTTTTCATCAAATATTCTCACAACACAGTACATTCAACAAAGAACTTGTATCCAGAATAAACATATTTTTCAAAAACCAACAAGTTAATACAAAAAAAGAGTCCACCCAATAGGAAAATGGGGAACTTGGACAGGTATTTCACAAGAGGATGCTTAAATAAGTATATACGAAAAGTACTCAATCTTGTTAATAATCAGTGAAAGAAAACTAAAGCCATACTGAAATACCACTATCTGCCTGCCAGAATAAAATGGAAAAACTGATACCATCAAGTGTTGACAAAAATGTGACAACTGGAACTTGGGAACTGTTTGGCAGTACCTAGTAAAGCTGAAAATATGTACTGCAACCCTACAATTCCACTCCTAAGCAAAAATGCATACCAATGTGTACCAAAATTAATGTACAAGAATTTTTGAGGCAGTTACTAGTAATAGCTGTTCCCAAACTGGGAATGAACCAAACATCCATCAGAATACTTATATGTGGTTTATTCATGCAGTGTGAGAATGAACCATGAACAAATACATGCAACCAAAATCTCACAATGTTGAATAAGCCAAATACAAAAGAACATTTACTACTAGATATTATTCACGTCCCAAAGCAGACGAAACTAACCTATGCTCTTAGAAATTAGGACAGTGTTTACCCTTGGGGAAGTAGTAACTGGAAGGGAGCATGAGAGGGACTTCCAGGGTGCTGGTAATAATATTTGTTGATGTATGTCCAGTAGATATTCATGTGTTTCATGTGAAAGATCAGTTACACTTCAATAAAAAGTATCTAAATTTTGAACGAAATGGGTGGTGTTCCAATAGTTAACATTTCAAGTTGCAGGTGGTAGATGGGCAAGGAGTCATCTGAGTCTTTGTAACAACACTTAAGAATGTAACATGCAATTGAAGAGCAGGCCTGATTTGGGGGATGTGGGAAATTCAAATCGTGGCTCTGCCTTGGGCAAGTTTGTATCCTCTTGGTGCCTCAGTTTCCTCATCATTAAAAGTTATCCCTTTTCTGACCTCATATGATTGTTGTAAGGACCAAGTGATTGACTTACATTAGGAGCTTAATGTTAGCTGTCACCCTCACTTTATCCTAGCTGCACAGTCCCCTTGGAGTTCAGGGAGCAGAGCTTCAGGGCTGACCTTAAGTCTCAGGCAAATTGAAGAGAGTACTCCTGCGTGTCACATACTTGCTCAGTATTGCAGTGACAAGCAGGCACACATGCTTCAGGGCTAAATGGGAGCAGAGGAGGAACTAAGGACATAAGGTAGAGGAGTTGGCTCTTCCCAGCTCCATATATATCTGCTAAATAAGTCTATCACTAAATAAATAAGTGCAGCACCCACTGCATTTATTGCCTTCAAAGAATCAGGAATGTTGCTCTTAGGGGGTGAAAAATGAAGAAACTTCTTATGAGGTGTGTAGTATTTGATATAACAGCAGCAATTAGAGAAGTGATGACATCCATCATATATACTTCCTATTTGCCCATCGGCCAGTAAATGCCAAAGGCATTTTGGTACTTTCTTTATACTGCCCTGGTCCCAGATTTGGCCTCTATTTTGAAAACCTAGAGACCTTGGCAGTGACTGGTTCATGATACATACAAAGCCTGAGGTAGACAACAAGAAGTCACTTCGTCAACAGTGAAAAATGTTCTGAATATTCACTAGAATATTCACACTGGCATTTTTCCTTGAAGGCAGACCTACACAAGCCAAATCTTCATTAGAAGAATACTTAAAGACATATCATAATAATGTAATGGCAGTAAGTTAATAAAAGCTAAAGAATAAATTCCCAAAAGAAATAATGGGACTGGAGATCTTGGTACTGGACAATGCTTTTTCTGCCTCTCCAATGATAATTAACATTGTACCCTGCCTCAAACCCCGTCTCACTTTGTACACCTCTGCTCTGATGCTCCTATTGATGAATGCTATTGACAATTTAAACTGCAATCATATTTCCTCAATTTCCAAGTTTGGGGAGGGGTTAAGCAACAAAACTGTACTGATAGTTACAAGTTAGTTAAAAGAAATCAAATTTCTCTGGGAGTCACACTAGAACCAGAGGCTTTGTGGGCACAGAAAGAGCAGAATTACTACCTGCAGCCTTCTTGCTGTCTGTAGGTTAGGACACTTCCCCTTTGAATGAAGCTAGAATTGGCCAGTTCCTCCCTCTGAACAACATGGCTACATAGTGCCTTTCTTTTAGCCTAATCTAGGCCCAAAGAATTCGAGTTTTCTTGTTTGTACCATCTAGCCATGTTCCTAGATCAATCCTTCCAATATCAGGCTGTGTTCTTTCCACAAATGGCTGATTTGATCTTCGTTTCTACTTTCATCCCCAGAGGACAAACAGGTCTGGGAAGGCCTTGCAGTCACTCCCATGAACGACTTATATCACTGAACTGACAGTAAAAAGCCATACTGCTCCTTTTCCTGATAGTTATGAGTCTTGAATGGAAAGTAACCAAATGTTTAGACTGTGGGTGTTTTTGTGTGGTGGTGGTGGAGTCCTACTAGCTTGGTGATATTGGGCAGGGGCCACCTTTTCCTGCAAGTTCTTCCTGCATCACCATCCAGGCATTTAATTGCAGCAAGGAGACATCAGGGAGTGGAGGGAAGACCAGAGAAGACAACAAGACTAACATTCAAAGGGTAACATCTGGAAATCCACATCCTCAGATGTGGATCTGTACCATTCAGACTCCAGAACCCTGATCCATCCACTCAGGATTTCCTTTGCTCCTGAGCCCTGGACCTTCCTTTTCTCTCTGCTTTGTATTACCACAATTATTCTGTCTTTTAGGGCGAGAAGAGCAAAAAGAGGCTCAAATTTTTTTATTATTTGCTTAGAATAAACTAAGACCATTAAGTGAGAATAGCAATAGAAAATAATAAAGAAGCTTTTCATGTTCTACTGAACTTTCACAATACTTTCTGGTACTCCCTCCAGACTAAAAGGAACCTGGATGTGTAATACCAAGAGCTCACCATCTCCATCTCCTCAGCACCATTACAAAAACCTTAGCTAGCTAAGAGTAGTCACCGTAGTCAGACATACTGCTATTTCCCCAAATGACTCATGGCAACCAGCAAGGCAAAAAAACTTAATTTTTGCAAACTGGTAACAGTCTGGAGATTGACAGATTGCAGAGGAGACAAATTCCTTAACCAATGTTTCTTGCTGAAAGACTTGCTACTCCATGAACAACATATATAAACAAATTGAAAATTATACATTTTAAACAAGTACTCAGGATAATTATAGAAAGTAATGTTTTTTAAGCATGCTTTAAAGAAATTATTTTTAAAAGAATATGCAATAGTTGCTCTGCTTTGCTGTTTAAGTTTTTTCCTACATTAAAAAATTGTCAAGTTTTCTAAACAGTGATGTAAGGACACCTAGCTGTCTATTTTGGAAGAGTAATCAAGCAAGAAGACAAGGCTGACAATTGTAATGGTTTTGAAATCACAAATACAAATTCTGAATGGTGATGAGACGCTTGATCCTACTATGCAAAGTACAACATTGTAATTGAGAAATCAATACTCCTGCTTCTTTCTGGGATGAAGGAAGTAATGGATCTATAGTATGTAGTGCCAGTAGCCTAGTTCTAATGTAGGAAGAATTAACCTTAAGTCTGTAGTTTCCTTCTTTCTTTCTTTCTTTCTTTTTTTTTTTTGCAGTCATACCCTGATTGCAATTCCGTATCTAAATCTGAGGATAATCTGCAACAGGTCTGCATGGAGAGGTTTTCATTATATCTTGAGAAAAAAACTACGGCATTTTTGTTCAATTAAGAGAGGTAAATCTAATTACATTCTTGAAACCTAGAAACAGTAATTGGTATGGCAGGAAATTCTTCAGAGAAAGCCCCCAAAATCCAAAGCCATTCTATGCTGGCATCCGAAATGTTCTATCTGGCTAAAATTCTGGGTAAATAACTATTATGGCCACCTAAAATCTGGTTTTAAACTTATAACTTTAGTGATACATACTGAACATTTATATTCAGTTAGAAACGCAATCCATTTAATCTTGAAAATCACTATATAACTATGGAAATGAGAGCACACACCTGCAAACCAGTACACTACCTCATCAATTCTACAACTGTAATAAAGTAAATACTGTAAACAGACTGAGTAAATCAGAACACTGTGTAAAGAGTTCAGAGGCTTTAACAAGTCATATAATTCTTACGAGCTAAGAGAGTAAAGGCAAATGGAATTATTTGAACATTAAAAATAGATTTTTAAAGAGGAAGGTCCCAACTCATTCTTATATACACACACCAAAGTTCATCTGTCACAGACAGCAAATATTAAATGTATACACTTAAGTTTCTGGCAGCATCCTTTACATTTAGAATAATTAATATAATCAAACAAAAAGTTGTCAAATCTATCTAAGGTGGATCATTCAAATCTGTGTAAGATGGAACACAGCTGTTCTGGTGTTCACTGCTGCTTCTCAAATGCAAAAACCAAATAAATACCTAAAAAATAAATAAATAAAAAGAAGTTAGACTTTGGTTTTTCATGTCCTTAAGGTAAACAAAACAATCTCAATCCTATTCATAATTTGGTGAAAATTTTTAGGTCCTCACATAGCTTTTGGTGAGAAAAACATCCCATTATTTCTAAGAGTTCCTTAATTATTTTGAGTCATTTAAGCAGATATGGGATTACATATGAAGTTTATTTGAAAACACAGTAATACTCGGTAACATCACAGCCCCAGAGAAAACCAATTCAACAACTCTGAAAAATCTCTAAAAAGATTGAGATGAGAAAACTTAAGAATATAAAAGGAAAAAATTAAAACTAAAAAATCCTTTTTCTTTTTTTACCCAGAGCAAGAAAGATAGGTAAAATAAGTTTTCTCTTTAGAAAAAACTAATAAGAATTACAAGGTACATATATAACATGCACGCTAAAATTCCAATTATTGAACTGCTGTGTTGCAGGGCCTGGTAAGGAAAGTAAGCCAAACGTTATATGATAATCGATGCTAAGAGATATTAATCTGGCCCCAACAGTGATATTCCCTCCATGAATCCAGCCCCAAGGGTACTCTCCCTCGAATAAAATTTCCTGCTTTGGAGCATGTTCACTCAAAGACATCTTAATGCATCTAAGGTTCTTCATTCTAAATCACAATTAAGTCCAAACCTGTATCTTCTAATAAGATACCAACAGATTTTACGGTAAGAAAATACATGAAAAGATGACAAATCCTTAAAACATCATAAGAATGTTCAGGATGTGTCCTAGCCATTGCTCCTTGAGATAATTTTTGAACAGGGAACAGATGAGGATGACAGACCACATAACAGCCACCCAATCCTTCAGCTTTTTGCCTTCCAACCCAGCCTGTACAGGCGTCATACCAGTCTTTCCAAATATTGTTTTGGTCATGCTATGCTATTCTCTGCTCCTTAACTGCCAGTTCCCAAATTATTTATTTATTTGGAGCAATTAAATATGGCTGGCAGAATACTAGACAGGTGGACAGGTTGGCAGGATAATCATCAACACTTAAGATTCTTTGAGAGGATACGGAGGCAAAGCTGTCTAAATATTCACGAGAGACTTAAAACAGACCAGCATTACTTATCCTTGCTCTGCACTCCAACCCTGCCCAACCTACCCCAAAACACCTATACCTACTGCAAATGACCTGGCAGTCTTGTCTTTCCCTCATGGAGGGTCATTTGAAACCACTAAGATGAGGTTTCTGATTTCAGAGAAGCAATTAGTAACTTTCTTTTCTAATTTTCAAAGTCTCATTGATATAAAATGCCTCTTACTGAGCCATTTCAGTTGGGATTTAAATAAATCTTGAACAATTTCTAAAAGCAACTCAGAAACAATACTTTCAAATTTAAAGCATCTTCTAGAGGAGCAGCAGACTGGGGTAACATGAGCTTAACAATTAGACCTGTAGAAGTTCAAAATATAACTTCTTACATTTATTAGACTGTGATACCACGTATGATACTTTCCAATCCACAAAACCCTCCAGTTTAGAATAGTTCACCTTATCAAAGATCTGAGCTATCCCAAGAGCTAGATTCTGGCTGCCACTTGGCCATTGCTCCTTTCATACTGCTTTGCACATTTCTAACCCATCACATCCTCAACTGTTTGGGGCCATCTAATTAATTTGTATGTTATTACTAAAGTCTACAATTCATGTAACAATACAACTAAAGATACAGTCATCACACCATCAAGGCCTTCAACCAAAGCTATTTGCCCTCACATTGTGCCCTGGGCCTTGTGGCATATCTAAGATAACTGTCCCATCTCCAGATTGGGTAATGTAATGAAATGTGTAGATTTATGCACACATCTCAGGTTTCAAAGGGTATGTCTCTAACACAGTTTCCAATCCCATTTCTACTAAGGGTACCAATATTCTGAGACAAGCTCAAAATCTTGGCCGTATTTTGTCTTCTTTCCTTTTCCTCTCGACCCAGTTCAGTACATCCTTAGAAATTTTCCTGTCATGTGGGCTTCCTTGAGGCCATGGTTATGAGTATGGAACACTTGGATTAGCTCTGGGAACTTAGCCAAGTTATTTGACTGCTTTCTTACCTGTGAAAAATAGATATAATAAAATAATAGCCTACTCATATAGTTGTGAAGATTAAGTGAGTTACAACATATGAAAAGCTTAAAACAGTGCCTGGGGACATGTTAAACACTTGATAATATCCAGTAGTACTATTTGTCAGATTTCACAAGTTTTTATTAAGTTCTCCATCACTTATTTTTCCCAATACAGTAACTTTAGCACTTAAAATTATTTGCCCAGCTAGTGAATTTGTGTCTGTTTCTTCCATTATATAGCATACTTCTGGAAGGCAGAGATATATTATCTGTTTACTTTTTTATCCCCTAAAGCTCTTTCATAGAATTTTATATAAATCAGCACTCAATTTTTACCAAATGGACTGTCTTTGATTACTACGGGTGCCTTCAACACAATCCACGAGTATTTCAATGAACAATGGGAACTATCTTTTAAGTCCTCAGGGCAACCACATAAGGGTATTACCATTATCTTAGCAGTGAGGCTCTCAGAGTTGACTTCCCCAATATCCATTTGCTGAAGAGCCACAGGACTTCACACTTCTCTGACTTCTCTTCCACAGATAGGTACCTCATTTTAGAATATTTCCATATCAAGCCTGTCCCCACCGCTCTAAAATATCCGCTCAATGCTCTTTCACTAAATGCTCTAGTATTTATTATGCCTTCTCTCTCAAAATCAGAGTGGCCAGAATCAAAATGCATGAAAGTGTTCTATAAGTCAAAAGTTCCAATAGAAATTTGAGAAAAGGCATCAAATACATATGGCTGGGTAGTTAACAAGTCGGCAATGAACATGTTTAAGAATGTTTGTTAAAGTTTATGTTAAGCAACACCCTGTATATGTTTTCTCGTCGCATTAAACAGCTGTGCAAAAAAGAGGAATTAGACATAGATAGGGATTTTGTATAAACATAAATACATACACAAATAAATATGTGTCAAAAAATTCTGAAGTTTTCAGATTTCAATGATCATTTTGAAACAATCTTTGAAAATGTCAGTAAATCTACGCTGATGATATACTCACTTGTAGCTTCCCATTCTGATTTACTTAAGGTTCCCTAAAATTACAAAAAAAAAAAAAAAAAAAGAAAGAAAGAAAAAAAATTTCAGATTGAATATGGAAGTACAGATGACCCTTGAACAACATGGGTTTGAACTGCATGGTTCCACTTATATATGGATTTTTTCTATAAATCCTGTAAATTTTCCTTATGATTTTAAAAACATTTCCTTTTCTCTAGCTTACTTTACATAACACAGATAAAGTATGTGTTAACTGTTTATGTTATCAGTAAAGCTTTGGTTAACAGTAGGTTATTAATATTTAAATGCGGGGGAATCAAAAGTTCTAGATTTTTGACTGTACAAGTGGTCAGAGTCCCTGACCTTCGTGTTGTTCAAAGGTCGACTGTATAAATACACGCTTATTTTTCGATAATGGGCAGAGGTGTTCAAACAATGATATTTTTGCTATAAATATACATACAAATTACTATAAATATTGTGATTTGAACATATAAATCAACAAGATTAACCTTTAACACCATCCTTTCAACACTTTTACCCTCCTGCCAAATCCCAACCACTGATTCTCAACGAAAGGGTAAATTTACATAAAAAAGGTATTGGTGTGTGTGTATGTGTGTGTATAACTAGAAAAGGCATCTATCTTGTATATTTAACTTGGAAAATGAGACAATAAAAAGCCTATCTCAAAACATCAAATAGCCTTGGAGGAGGAAATAAAATTTTTGTGTTTTTAAAAAGAAACCACAAATAAAATGCATACCAAGTAAATAAAATAAATTATATTTAAAAGTTATCAAATATTAAAAAAAATTTATATAGATTTATATAGTAATACAATGACTAACAAGATATACTGGCAATTCTAGTAACTAATGTAATTTTGAAGAAATGATAAATGTAAACAATATTCTAAGATGTCATCAGAAATGTGTTATGCAAATATCTATAATTTCTATTGATGACAAAGTCACAGCTTACAGATAATACCAGTGTGGTATTGTTCCATTCATAATAAAAGAAAATGTAAACTTCCATGTAGAAGTCAGTGAAAATGAAAATGTAATTTTTCACCATCTAAGTTCACGAGTCCCTGAATCTTATCTCTGGAACACCACGGTTGGTAGTACATAGGTTAAGATACAGTGATATAGCAAGAAAATGTAAGCTAAGCCTACAATGTGTTCCCCATCCTTAGTGCTTCATATATGGCACTTCATTCTCAGTTCACTAAAGTACATTTTATTTTATATTCTATAGTTATAGAAAGTCATTATAACTTAGGGGAAACAGACTAACATGTATCTGATTTGTAACTCGGTGAACCCAAGTTCTGTAAACCAGTGGAATAATTTCCTAAGTTTTGATATAATGTATTCTTTTTTCCCATTTTTTCAAATAAAATGTTAAAAAAAATTAAAACTCACCAAAGGTAACCTTACTTGACTGTTTTTCATGTACTGAGCTGCATGTTCATAGTCATCCACCTTTTCAGAGGCAAGTTTGGAATTCTCGTTTGCAGGATATGGCTAGGAAGGAAGTAACAATTCTTGTTAAGATAATCACACTAAAATCTACAATTCAGAATTAAACATAGTAAACTAGTGAAATAAAATAATAAATATGATAATCCCTACAAATTACTTCAGGAAGACAAACTACATCTATTTGTGAAATAAAAAAAAAAAAATGAGTGGCAGACATCATCTTCCAACAAAGAACTGTTATGATGAACTTGGATAATAATCATAGAATATTTAAAGTCAGGCTAAACCGTTCATGACCATCAAGGACCACTTAGCAGCAAACTCTTGCCTTTCCCTGACTCCCAGTCAAAGGCTTTTTCTCTTACAACACAAAGCTGAAGGAATGTTTTATCAAAAGAGCTAAATATTAATTTGAGCATTACAGACATTTAATAGCCACAGAAGACATGAAGAGCAATTAGAAAGAGTACAAATGAAAAATTCAAGTCAACAGAGAATGCTGTCAGTTTAAGAAGACAAGGAAAATAATCCAGCCTCCAAAATACAGGCCATCTCCACGTTTCTATAAGAATCAAAAGAAGGGACACATACACAGAAACACAAACGCACAGCTATGTTTTTAAGGGTATGCTGACCAAATGTTTATTCAAATTACCTCAAGCACTATTTAAAATCCATTTTAACTAATTTCTCTTTGTACTATGAAGAACAGTACTTGGCAAATACATGTAAATCAAAACAAATTACAGAATATATAACATTTACTCTATAAAAGTTATATATTCTTTTGCTTTTAAATATTTTTAATCTATTGATTGATTGATTAGAGAGAGAGAGAGACAAACATTAATTTGTTGTTCTACTTATTTACACATTCATTGTTTGATTTTTATATGTGACCTTACCTGGGATTGAACCCACAGCCTTGGTGTACTGGAATGATGCTCTAACCAACTGAGCTACGAGCTAGCAAGGAACAACTTTAGACTTAGGTCTACCTGATGAACTTTTAAGAAAATGAGCTGGGAATGCCTACTTTGCTATCTTCTTTTTCATTTTTCTTTATTTATATCCTACAGTGAGCTGAGGCATTAGAAATTTAGCTGTTTGCTGTTTAAAAAGTATTTGGCTTTTTGGACTTCCTTATCATTATCATAAGCAACTATGCTCTTTATCCCATCTTACCATAAGATAAAAGAAACATTGCTTGTGATCACTAAGTTCTCTTGAACCGTCGATCCCACATCTTGTGGTTTCATCACAAAGCATTCGCAAAGCATAACAAAGCTTCAAAACTTTAATTTGAATGTATGAGAAAATTCTGTTGCAAATTTTTTCTTCAACTTATAACACTCCTCCATGTGGTTATTTGCCTGTCATCAAATGTCTAATTTCTCTCCTCTACTAATCATTTTAAAAGACCAAACATAATTATAAAGCTGCAAAGCTGTTTTTTCTACACTTGCTAAATTAAATGTATATATCCTAGTAAGTGTCTCCTCTCAAAGCAGTTACCTATTGCCAGGGGAGGGGTGTGGGGCACAAGTGTTAGGACTTTATAGTTCTTTGGCTTATGTCTTTTCATTCTTCCTTTCATCTGCTACTCTACTCCAGGAGAGCAGAGCAAAGTTTTACTAGTTTTGATGCTGAAACTCTGGGCCAGCTGAAGGCTGATGGCTTTAAGAAAGAACCTTTACAGCCAAATATCAGAAAACAGATCCATTTAAAATCTGATCTGGCCTAAAGCAATAGCATCCTGACTGATGTTTCTGCCACTGGTCTTATCATTCCTCTGAACCACCCTTTATTTTTTTTAAAAGATTATTTATTTATTTATTTTTAGAAAGAGAGAGGGAGAGAAACATCAATGTGTGGTTTCCTCTAGCACGCCCCCTATTAGGAATCTTGCTACAACCTAGGCATGTACCCTGAATGTGAAATGAACTGGCAACCCTTTGTTTCACAAGCTGGTGCTCAATCCACTGAACCACACCAGCCAGGGAAAGAACCATCCTTCTTAATGCTATCAGAGTCATGTCCTCCCTCACTCAAAATCCTTTACAGGCCCACAAAAGTGATTTGGTGAAGAAGCAGGAAAAAAACCAAAAGACTCTGTAAAACTAAACACTATTAGTGCTCATGTATGTCCCCAGATAGCCACAGTGATAGGTTATATTCTCAAGTTAAGTACTGAGCACAAAGGAAGACTGGAGACCTACTGTGCTAAGTTATGAGTATTAAGTTATGAGTAAATACTCAGAAGCTACTGAGTTATGAGTATTTCCGCAACATTCTCTGCTCGCTCATGTTTCTCTGCCTTAACTCTACTTTCTTCCCAAAAGGCCCTCTTATATACTCACTGTTTTATTATTTCTTCATTACTGCAATTCTCACACTGTACTTAATTATTTGCTTATAAGTTTATCTCCTTAATATATCATAAGATCCTTAAAGGGGACCACTATCCCATATCCCACTGTCTACATATATTTTGAATAAATCAATTCATTGCCCACATGCGATGAGAAAGTATAAATAATTCATCTGTCCATGCAAAGCACCATTAAGTAAAGATGATATACTAAAGGGATGTATGTGTGTGGGCAATTTACGCACACACACTTTTTCTAGCTTTCTTCTCTCCCTCAAAACAAACAAAAACAAGCCATTCCTCCAAATATAAAGCAAATACAAGCATTCCTAATCCTCAAATATAAAAAATACGTAACTGTAACCAACAAGAATATAAAATTTTAGTGATTACTGGTTTTTAAAAGACAATTTAGTATTTAAAGGTGACCCTCTCACTCAAAAATCAGGGGTCAGAGGAAGGGATGCAACTACAAGAAACTTCTGTTGGAATACCAGCTATAAATACTGAAAAGAGACTCCGTTAATAGCCATGTGACCTCCAACAAGTCATTGATCATCTCTGAGCCTCAGGCTGCCCATTTAAAAATAGAAAAAGTGGCTACTTTGCTTACTTCATTGGGTAATTATGAGGATAAATAAGAGAATGCTTAAAATACTTTTAGCCCTGGCTGGGTGTCTCCATTGGCTGGAACATCATCCTGTACACTAAAAAGGCTGTGGGTTCAATTCCTGGTCAGGGCACATACCTAGGTAGTGGGTCTGATTCCCTGTCCGGGGTGTACATGGGAGGCAACTGATCGATGTTTCTCTTCTTCCTCTCTGAAATCAATAAAATCACATCCTTGGGTGAGGATTAAAAAAAGAATACTGTTAAAATATTCTAAATTGAACAAACTCTCATCTCTAAAGAAGTTTAATGACTAATATGATTCTGAGCAATAACAAAAATGCTCCCTATTTTAGATCTATCCAATTAAACACTGATAAAATATATAAGGAAAACTAACTAAGGGCTGTATACTGTGTTTACAGCTTGTATAGACTATCTTCACTACTGCATTAAGGGAAGCAGAGAGGAGTCCAGGAGTTAAAGGTCTCAGGACCAATATAGTTTAAAAGACTGGAATCTTCCTAGACAGTCACAAAGAACAAAATTATACATGAGGTTGTTTTGGACCGTGGCCAGGAAGGTTTTAAATTACTGATATAACCAAAGGCTATTACCGTAAAGAAGTGGTTCTTACCTGGGGGCGACTTTGAACCCCAGTGTCCAATGTCTAGAGACAATTTTGGCTGTCATGACTGCAAGGCAGGGGAGCTACTGGCATCTAGTGCAGAGAGGCTAGGGGCCAAGGATGTGGCTGAACATCCTACAGTGCACAGAACAGCCTTCATAATAAATTATTACCCAGTCCAAATGCCAATGGTCCTGAGGTTGTGAAATTTGACTTTAAAGAAGTACTATCTAGAAAATAAAATTTGATGACAGCATCACTCCTTTCACTCAAATATATATTACCCTTGAAAGCTCTGTCCTAGGTTCTAAAGAGCCTGAAGCAGTCATAAATAATCTGTGTACTTTATATCAAGATTTAAGTGTTTACATGGTCTTGAAAAGAATCTCAGAAGCAGCCAAACAAGTTTGCCATAGCCTGGGATTTTTACACCTTTCTAAACACTTACCTCCAGGGCTTGCATTCGTTTTAATAGCATTTTATTTTCATTGTTCTTAATCTTTTCTTCATAGAATTCCAGAAATGTTTTTTTGTAGACTAGTTTCATATTATATTTCTTGACCATTCTGTTAAAAAAAAAAAAAAAAGATTACATAATGAAAAGGCTTCTAAAATATTTGTAACTTCTCAGTTGCTTACTTTCACATGACAGTGACTCCTGGGTTTCACTAAAAAAGTCAGCGTATCTCCTTCATATATTCATAATAAAATGATGCAAAATGAATGAGCAACATACCACTGACCATGACTGTAAGAAAATGTGCCTTCTAAATCTCAATGGATCATAGGGAGCTCTAACAAATCGGCTGGGAAGTAAAATGAAACACTGTGAGACAGAAGTAAGGAGTTTTAAGAAACACTTTTCTATAGAATCCATTTTATTTAACTTCATTCCTCACAGCAGTATTGAAAGTAGCTGCCAACCTCCTTCTTAAAATATTCTTCCTCTTTTGGGTTCTATGGCAAGATACACTATTAATTTTTATCCTACATCTCGGGCTGCCTCTTCAGTTTCTTTTAGCCAACTTCTAAATTTAAAGATTCTGAAGAGTTTGGTCCACAGCCTTTATTCATTTTCACTCCCTTGATTTTACCCAGCATGCCAACAGCTATCTGTGCTCAGCTCTCTCTTCTGTCCCACTCATTTATTCCCTGCTTACTAGAAACTTCCACCAGGATGTAGAATAGGCATCCTCTAACTTTTCATATCCAAGGCTGAACCCCACTAGACTGTTGCCAATCTCTGCTACTTCAGTAAATTCCTCTCGTAATTCATGCCAGAAATCCTGGGAGTACTCCATGCCATTGCCCACTGTACTCAGCATGCCACTACATCCTCTCCATCAAACTATAAAACGTACTTCAGTAGCTTTCCTTCAGCATCTTTTACTAGCCAAGCTCCTTCCCACTTCGGGTCTTTCATACATATATTGTCCCTTGTGTCTGGAAAATTCTTCATTCCAGTCTTTAACTGGCCAACTTTTTTTCATCCTGTATAGATTTTGACTTAGAACATTGCTTCTTCACAGATGGCTTCCTTAAAACCTCAACTACATTAGGTTTCCCTGTTAATTTGTGGTTTTTTCCCCCCACTGCATTTGCCAAAGTTTATAACTATATATCTGAAGACAACATGAGGGAGCCTAGGGATAGTTCCAGGTAGCAGGTAAAGGAAAAAAAAAAAAAGGAAGGAAAGAAACCCCTGAAAAAACCCTATGGGCTTGTGAGGTGACAGCTGAGGGGACAGCATGAAGGAAAACATGAGGGCCACTGGGGTTTGTATATAAAAGGCATATGAAGCTGGATTCTCTATAATTTAAATTAGCCCTCCTTGGGAGAACAACATGGTAAAGGTAAAAATTTCTTCTACTTTACGTAGCTCCTTTTCTATCATAAATCTACAAAATAAGCCTTTAGAAATGAAATGAAGTTTCACACCTAAGAAATATAATTACAAAGACTGAAACTCAATTTGACCAATTTGAATAGGTTTGCCATACAAAAGCTAATTATACTTTTGTTCAGTTTCATAATGAAATGGCAAAAGGGCATCTCCAAAATCCCTATGCATTGTTGGAATCTGTCTCACCAAATGAATACCTGTTTCAATAAATAACTTTTAAAAATTTAGATATTAAAAAGGATGACTAATGACTTTATATGTCTATCATCAACAGGTAAATTAAGTAAAGATTGCTAGTGCTTGTGTAGCACTAAAAAAAAAAGTTAACTTTAAATCATCAACTTTTTTAAGCAAAAACATCAGGCTAACCTATTAAACACACTAAAAACGTTTAAATTCTTATGGTATAAATGTGAAGAGAAGTAACATTTCCCAAAAGTTTACTAACTTTAAGAATAAAAATGTGACTTAAAATTTTTTCATTTTATACCTTATATTTATAAATTGTGCAGAGTACACAAAATAAATAAATCACACTCCTGAAAGTGTTCAGTCACACTCTATGTAACTTTTATATAAAAATTTTATATATTGCAGAAACTGAAAATCCTATACCCATAATTTTACCAGCTTACTGAGACACAAGTCAAATTATCACCAACTAAAAGCAAGCAGGCAATAAAGCTCTTTTTTTCTTCAGTTAAAAAAACACTTTTGTTTTTAAAAAGAAAGAAAGTAAGTTCAGTCAACTGTGGTACGGCCTACGTTTAAGTTGACTCTTCCACTCTCCCTATCAAGGAAAACCCAAGACCAAGTTATCTCATAAGGCCTTGAAGTCTTAGCTGATAGTGTGGTACCCCAACTTTCCCCATGTCTGTGGAGTCCCAAAAACTCGTAGGAATTGAGGTGCATGAGTGGATACATTCCTGAACCAGGATTTTATTATCTATATTGCCTATGAGACATAGGCGATTTCAGAGCTACAGTGAAATGTAAAACAACTTTTAATACCCATCTCTGGGTAAAAGAATCCATTTGACATTGCCAAAATAATGTTATCAAAAAAAAAAAAAAAAGAAAGAAAGAATGTTGCTATTTGCAATGTTGGGTATTTTCTGCCATAAACTGACAGTAATGGGCTCCCTTTCTTAACTCCAGGAATAAAGGAAAACTAAGTTAAAACTGTAAGAGACCTATAGCATCAACCCTGAATTTGAGTTCTCTTTTTTTCTTTTTAACAACGCTATATTTTCCTTTGGGTTCCCTATAAAGGAATGACTAGAAATACAGACTTTCCCCCCCCTTTTTCCTCCTTGACAGCAAAAAAGAGAATAGTAACATATTAACAACATTCTTACTCATTTAGCAATGGAAAATAGACCAAGAATTCAGGGACATCCACAACACCTTCCAAGTTGAAGTCATATTTGCAGCCAAATAAAGGATAGTCTCCTTTCTTCTGAAATTTCACAGTATATATTTCATTTCCAAATGATTCTGTTTCTGAAGCTTCAAGGCGTCTTCTACAATGGTTTTTCAAAAAAAAAAAAAAAAAAGATTAAAATGGTTATTAGCTCAGATTTATTTTGATCAGATTACACATGTGAAAAAAACTATATGAAATTTAAAAAATACAATTAATGAGCTTTTTAATAGAATTTGAGCTACTTTTAAAAGCAAAGTACTAAAAGATTATAAACAATTGTGCTAATAATAAAATCAGCCTCGAGTGTAGGGTTCACTATTATGACAAATGGTTAATTCTTTGTGCCTTGGAATCTGCTGTGCAACTTGCTCAGTACTACAACCTCTGGCTCGATGTAACATTAGTCTCCAACTTACACATTTTTAAAGGTTCATCTGTAACTCTGTCTTTTGAACTTCTGATATTTAGTCAAATATATTATCAAAATGTTTAGCTCTTATAAGAGCAACATAACATATTTTATAAAGACTCTCTGATAAACATTGCTACTTTAAAATAGGCTTACTGAGCTTATTATAAACCACAATATATTTTAAAGTACTTACATCAGTTCAAAGCTATTGGGAGTGGTACCAATAAAATAGCCTCCAGGGCTAAGTCTTTCACAGGCATTTCTGAGCATCATATCTGCCTGCTCATAGGACTCAAATGAGTAATGGCAGACAAATTGACAACTGCAGATGTCAAAGTGCATTTCCGGGTCACGAAATTTGTCAATCAAAAGTTCCTAAAGCAAATTAAAATAGGGAAATACTTTAAAGTACACAACATGAAACCTTTTTAGTAAATTAATTTCTAGAATTAGAATCCTTAAAATAAAAATAGACATGGCCTCCAACTAACCTATCCTTTGTCTCATGTATAACAAAGGTCATAATGAAATCATTCTTTTTTTGTTTGATAGAATTTGATTCCCATTTTTCTAGTAATTTTTAAAAACTAGAAATTTAGAAATGTCAAAATGTATCAATCAAATATATTTAAAAGAGCTGCTCCTTTTATTTGGCTTTACTTGAAAGCTAAGTAAAATGACACTGAACAATAACCTGGGTTAAAAAGTTGGACTTAGGGACATTTAAAAAAAAACACACTAGCGTTTTTAAAGGTTTCCAACATTCCAGCAGCATACAACCACTTTCCCTTTCACTTTCAAAACTGCTAACATACACATGTAGGATGATTAAAGGATCTCTAATAGCTTAAAGAGCTAACAAGTCAGACAAAGAACATAAAGTTCAAGGTGAGACTTTCACCATTCAAGTGTTTCTGTAGTTCTTAAACTTCATAGTTGTTAAGTATTTCAAAAACAGATAGAAGGTGAATAAAACAGACTATAATATGTTGGGAAACTATGCTCATAAATTACAAAGTGAACAAACCATAAATTTAGTTCTATTTCAAAATGCTAGGAAATAAATCTTGTTCAAATGGAAAAGCAACACATGATTTCAAAGTTCAAATTATTAAAAGCAAAAAATTTTCAGAAATACTTAGTGGACCATTAAAAAAGTTTTATCGTACTAGATCTTCTATTTGAAACTGAAAACTTGTCATAAGATTTTTAATATTTCAAAGCACATTTTTAAAAAGAACTGATTTTAAAACAGATCATTTACCCAGGCTAAATATATAAAAAATAAACTGACAAATTTTAAAAAGCTTGTACCTTTGAACAATCAGCAGTTATAAATTCTGCATTGAAAATATATTCATTATCACGACGGTTTTTCATGTCCTCATACCGCTGCTGACACTGTTTGACAGAAACATCAGCAATATCTGGAAGGGGAAGGGGTATTAGTAACTGTCAACAATGACCCATAGAGATAACAAAATGTAAAGCAAAGATGGCACAAATCTAGACATTAATCTCAAGGGATAAACTTCTGCATGAAATCTAGCCTTAATATAAGCAAAAAGGTTTTATTTCCTTAAAAACAAAAGTCTTTGTTCCAATATAAATGCCCTATTATTTTCCAAAAGACATTATAAGTTTTCTAAATAGATACCTAGAACAGAAAAATCCTACTATGATTTTTAAATGCCTATTCAAAATAAAAAGTTTCTAATTTGAATTATAAAATCTAACACTGTATGCCCAGCTTTGAAAATATCAAATGTATATTTTCATAATAACATGTCATTTGTCCCTTTTGCATTGATGGAACAAAAGCAACAGTGGTTAAAATGCCGGCACCTTATCATGAATATACAAGGTAGTGCCACTTATATATATTCTTCACTACTGTAAAGCTAGCATTAAAAAAAATCCAGTTTCATTTAAGAATATTCTTGATTAAACAGTAAAAACTAATTTTATTAAGTCATGGCTCTTGAACACATCTTTTTTAATATTCTCTGTGATGAAATGGAGTCACAAAAAATTTCTGCTATATAAAAAGTTTGAACAGGACTAGTGTGACTGTGTTGTGAGCTGTACAGGCCTCTTTTTTCATAGAAAATTGTTTTCACTTGAAAGAACCACTGACAAACTGGTTATTCATACGGGGCGATATGGCAGACATTTTCCTGAAAATAAACAAAGCGAGTCTGTCACTTTGAGAAAAATAATGAACCATTTTTTTTATCCTCACCCAGGAACATTTTTTTTTTACTGCTTTTAGAGAGAGAGGATGGAAGAGAAACATTCATGCAAGAGAGAGGCATCCATTGGCAGCTTTCTGTGCCCAGAAGAGGGATGCATGTGCTAGGACCAGGCACCAAACCTGCAACCCAGGTACGTGCCCTGACAGGGAATCAAACCCACAACCCTTTGGTTATGGGATGATGCTCCAGCTGAACCACACTGGCTAGGGTGAACTTTTTTTTTTTTAATCAGCAGTAAAATTTGAGCTTTCAAGCGAAAATTACAATTCTGAAAATCTTAATCTACCACCTTAGACTGGGCATCTTGCCACTACTTCTCTGGTTTGTAATATTAAACAAATGTGATTTCTTGATGTCAATGTAGAGAAGATCTGCATTATTTTAGTAAACATTATTTTCCAAATATTACAAAATCTCTTGGGGCAAAAGAGAGCCAAAGTGCAAGACAGATCAATGGAATTAAAAGTAACAAATTATGAAAAGTTCATCAATATTGGTTTCAGATTCCACACTGTGGATCTTTAAGGAACCACTGCTTGTCAAGTTTTGATGTATCATAAAAAAATGAGTATCATCAATTATCTGAAATGACTATTAAAATACTCATTCATTTACAACTATTTATCAAAATAACAAATCACAACATACTGAATGCAGAAAAGGGTGTGAGAATTCAGTTGTCTCCTATTATTCCAGACTCTAAAGGGATTTGCAAAAATATTTTTGGAATGCCAGTTTTCTCACTAAATTTTATTTTTTGATGGATTAAAAATATTTTTAAAATTGTGTTTTAGTTTCTATAATCAATCAATATGATTGATTACACAATCATACATACATACATACATACACATACACAAAAGCTTTCTGGAGTTCTCAACCATTAAGAGTGTAGACTCTTAAAAGCAAAAAATCATAAAAGCAAAAAATTTGGGAAGTGCCAAATTAGGCAATACCTCATAGGTGGTGCTGTGCACTTTCTATTACTTATCACATTGGGAAGCACACGATGTCTGCTTGTTCCACTTTAGTGTAAGACTGACCAGTGGGTTGAGGTGCTCGATTCATTCAGTTAAGTTCCTTTCAACTTCACCTAATAGCTGTTTATGATTGCTGCTTATATTTATTTTTTCATCAGGGTGAAAAAAAATCATGACTTTCATCATTCCTCCTGCATTTATTTGTTATGATTTTTCAATGAAAAGGAATTTTCCTGTTCAACCTTTTGGTTACCTTGAAATATAGTTCATATAGGGTAGGGAAGATAAATACTCAATCTCTGCTTCCCCACTTAATATATGAATTTCAGAATAATGAGTAAGTTTTGTAGCAACCTCTAAGGGTGAACAATGAGATTTTTTCCATTTATTTGATGAGCTTCAATCCACTATAATCATTTCTGATGATGAAACTGTCCTATCTTTTCAAGTTTGCACTTAGACATGGCTCCAATCATCTTTGATTGCTTCCTTCCTTTTAGGAAGGACAAGTTATTCTAGGCTAATAAATACTATAACACCATCAGTAAAGTCTCATATCTCATTTTAAAAACACACATCTAATGCATAGCCCCCAAAAAGCGTAAAATATTTTAGTGTCGTTTTATCATGAGATCCATCTTATTTTTCATTTCCCTGACTGAACACAAATTATTCTTTTTCATACCATTATTTATCTTACCAGTACAAACTAGCTTGTTAATTCTTCCTTTCTTCCACTTGAGCAAATCTCCACCTTTACCACATCCCAAATCCAAAACAGTAATGTCACGTTTTTTTTTCTGTCGTAACTTTTCTAAAAATTCCCCTAAAACAGAGAAATAAGTCATAATAAAAGATCTCCACTTAGTAAAGCATAAACTGTTGTCCCTAATAACCTATTAACTTCTGCCTGACATGTAATTATTAATTATTATTAATTTCATTTATGTAATTCATAACTTTTGGTTAACATTTCAAAATATAATTAAGAGTTAATTAACTTGATCCTCTAGCATTAAAGATGAAAAAGCATACATCTGGTATCTTAGAAAGTTAAGGCAGGTTTTTGAAGGTTACTTTCAGAACTTGATTCAACATTAAACAGCCAACATTTTAAATTCTAATAATATAAGAAGATTCAACAATTGTTCATTGTAAGAGAAAAATTAATCATTCATATTTTTTATAGTTTTCTCTTTCCAAAACTAAGTGTTTAGCTTACTATACACCTAGGTTAATCAAAATAACTCTGCAATAAGAGTGCTTGACTGTCATAAAGGTGTCAGGCTTACCACCAAGAAAGAAAATAACAAATAGTCAAAAATCATACATACCTCTTAATTTTACTATCATCAGAATTCTTAAATACTGAGGTAAAAATGGAATCTTTCATCCCAATCTATCAAATCACATTAATAGCCAACAAATAATATTAGTAGATCACAGTATATCATTAGCCAAATACTTCAGAGGTCAGTTACAGGCATCTTAATATTCCCAGATGACTGAAGTATTCAGCAATTCTAAAACTTTGTACACTACTCCATCCTAGGTCTACTCTTCCTGTTTTTACCACTCTGTTTAACACTTTCTATTTCATGTGTGAATTATCAAAAGATTGCTAACATATTCTGTACAAAAGATTCTGCCTTTTGCTGTCTATAGGATCTTAAAGTAATTTCAATAGAAGTGTCCATCAGTAGATGATTGGATCAAAAAATTATGATACATACACACAATGGAATACTACGCAGCAGAAAGGAAAAAAGAACTAGTAAACTTCGCGACAGCATGGATGGAACTGGAGAGCATTATGCTAAGCCAAATAAGCCAGGGGGCGAAAGACAAATACCATATAATCTCACCTATAAGCGGAACCTAACCAACAATACAAAGATGCAAGGAAAATATGACCAGCAACACTGAAAGGAAAAGAAATCAACAGAGACAAGAGGGAAGGAGGGAGGGGCGGGCAGGGAAAGGGAAGGGAAGGGGAAAGTCAAGGAACATAGAGCAAGGACTCATGGACAAAACCAAAGGGGAAGAGCAGAGGGAGAGAAGGAGGGAGGGGGCAAGGGAAAGTGGTAGGGGGGAGGCAGAGACAAATGTATTTAAAAAGAAAGAAAGAAAGAAAGAATAAATAAATAAATAAATAAATAAATAAATAAATAAATAAAATAACCAGGGAGAGGTTAAGAATCGTATAGGAAATGGAGAAGCCAAAGAACTTATTTGTACGATCCATGGACATGAACTAAGTGGGGGAACTCAGGGGGAAGGGGCGGTGCAGGGTGATGGTGAATAAGGGGGAGAAAAAAAATGGGACAACTGTAATAGCATAATCAATAAAATATATATTCAAAAAAACAAAAAAATAAAAAAAATAAAAAATAAAAAATAAAAAAAGAAGTGTGAGTGTTCCAGATTTAACTTTGATATGAATCTTAAGAAAACAGTATAAAAATAATATTAAAAGTGAAAAACTATAAAATCTATTTCTATATAGAAAGACTAATGAGAGGTAAAATTATTATGAAATATTATTCAAAGTTATTATTGCCATATTCGTGAACAGTATTCAACTATTTCCTAAGCTATAAGTACCAACAAGAAAAAGAATGACAAAGAATAGATGTTGAGAAGAGAAAGAAAAAAGCTATGGGGAGCTTGACACAGACCACAAGATTGCACTAGGACCAGAAAGACAGATGCAGATGGCAAAGCATCCACTGAGAGAGCTGCTGGAATAGCTGAAGAAGGAAAATGCTATGAATATGCTGAGATAAATTTTTGCTAGTCTGACTTAAGTCTTTTCATGAATAAATACACAAATAAATTACACATTATTAAAAAATACCCAATAAGAAATCTGCATTAGATCTGCATAAGAAAAGCAAAAGAAAAGAAATTAGGACTAAGGTCCAAAGATTATCTTAAAAGTATAGTCTACAAATAATATATTAAACACACACTCAATTACCCTAGCTGAAAACTGGCAGTCAAATAAGTCGTATTTTTGTAATTAAGTCATGAATATTAAAAACAAAAATGAGATAGAAAATAATGTGTTAGAAAAATGGGTGTAGTTTCCACTCCTAATACTTCTCAGAATGTCTAATTTATATTATTATTAAACCTAGAAGAAAAGTATCCATAATTAGCACCTTTGTCCCTGTATAATCAAGAAAGGATTTTCACTTTTCCTGAGGCTGGCTTTATGAAAACAAAAACAAGAATCTTACTGTAAAAAAAAGTCAAAATATACTAGCTTCTTAAAATTCTAAACTCAGGTAATAGTCTATTTGATGTGCTAGATATACAAAACAATATATATATGGTGAATCACATTTCTTCCATTGACTTCCATTTTAATATCAAAGGTGAGTTTCCACAGATAAATAAAATGCTGGATCCAAAAAGCTGAATATCTTCATTAATACTCAATGTAAACTTTATTCTTTTCCTCAAACACATACAAGAAAAGTAAGTTTAATGCACAATCAACAAACATATGATCTTTACCAACTCATTAAAGGCCTCAAAATAAAAAAATCATGATATTGTCAATTTCCTTGACTTAATGGAATCTGAAATGTTTAATCTAACGATGTTATTGCTCCAAAATTTTTAGAGTAAAATAGAATAATTAATAGCATTAACTCTACATATAAAAGGAGCACACTACATTTTGAAAGCCTTGTTAACTTTTCAACTTAATATCCACTAAACACTCATTAATATGTTATTATATAGTCAATCAACAGTAGATATAAAAAGAACTTATCTTAAAAGCCTAGTTTTAGTTTTGGCTCCTGTTTTACAAAGCCAAGTTTGATAATTAAATGAACTGGAATTAAAGATCTAGAAACTTGGTGTATGATTAATCATTCAGGGAGGAAAAATGAGACATAAGCTGAAATAAAAAATTCCAAAGTATAAATCAAAAACAATCATACCAATGAGGACACTTTTCATCCAATTATTAAAGTTTCTTAGGTAAAAAATACGACTTTGGCTACGCTTCTCTAAACCAACTTCTTGAAGTTCATTGTAGTGAGCAGCCACTGTTGAGCTATGTCCTTCTTCTAAGTTCTGAAAATAAGAGAATGAAACAAAATTAAGGATTAGAATATGGCAAAAATAAACCTAAAAGAGCATCTGATAATATAAGGATAAAATACCACTGAAACTGATAAATTCCATTAAACAATAGCATTAACCACAGAAATCCCACTAATTGTAATCAGACATAAGATTTGTTTCCCTCACTCCCTATTTTTAAAACATCTGTAGGTTTAAATTTTCATCTGTTTAATTTTTGTATCAATGTTTTAATGAAACAAGTACTTTTCCAGAGGTCTGATTTCTTCAACTCAATAAATGCCAGTCAGAAGAGGTTCCTCTGAGAAAATACAGTAGAAATAATTTATATTTATAAAATAGTTGTGACTGTTAAATGAGATCATACACACAAAGGGTTTAGAACTCAATAGGCTATGTTCAATGTCAGTGATTCCTACTATTATTTGCTTTTAATCTAATTCAAAATTTTCAATTTGTGTTCCCTACTTAATGCCCTAAGAATTCTGCAATAATCCCATGAGAGATAAAGGGTTTCACATCCCCATATTTCCCTGTTCAACTAAAGCAGTTCATCTTTTACCTATTTTACACATCAGGTTTAAGATTTTTCACTTGAGAAACGGGTTCCCACTGCTAGTGAAAGTTTGAAAGTATGTTTACAATACAAGCTCCTCTCTGTTACAAGGATTCACTCTCCAGAGCACTAATGACAAATGCTTGGCCTGTCACTTTCCTCTTCACTAATGGCAGAACTTTACTGTTACTGAAGTTCTCTTTCCCTCCAAACCCAGATTCTGCCTCCGATTCCTTCACAATATGATATTCCCAGAAGAAAATGGCTTGCTACTCTTTGCTCTATAGTATCCCTACTATATACCAGGCTTTTGCACCCACTTAGCTAAAACTGTATGTAACTACTTAAATAAGGAGTTGAAACAACATAGTTAAAGGAATTACATTAGGAAAGGAATGTAAAGCTGGGTATGATTTTAAAATTTACCATTTTAAGTGATAATCTCAACTACTTTCAGGTACAAAAAAAGAGATAAACACCTAATAAAAAATGAGAAAAGGTAAATCATCTGGACCTCATACTCCTATCTTTTTTTAAATAGCCAAGAAAAAGCAAACTATAAAATCTAGCTTTCAAATTTCTAGTCAAGTAAGACTTCTGATAACATAAAAATTATCTCATTAGCAGAAGTTTCAACTAAATAAAAACAAAGAGGTAAAAGCTTACTCTATCTTAACACAATAAAAAAGAACATTCTGAAATTATTAAGATTATGTAAAAATCAGCATTACTTCACAGGTGCTCCACATTTCAATTTGACATATTCTATTACGGATAAAATAAAATACATTGAACATACTCTTTGTTTTTCAGGAACATCCTCAAGTTCTCTTTTTCTCTTTTTCTGGGTGCTGTCTCCAGGAGAAGGTTCATCTTTTGGGAAATCATCAGTTTCCAGTCTTCTTTTCCTTGAAATGCCTTCATCATCACCACCAGAACCTGTTTCCTCTGGGACAATTTCGGCATCAAGTTTTCTTTTCTTGGATGGAGTATCTTCCCCACAACTGGAACTCTCTTTTACAACGTCATCTGTAAACTCCATTTTTCTCTTTTTTGGTGTGCCTACTTGCCCATAGGTAGGAGCCTTCTCAAAAAGCCCAGACCTAGGAGTAGTTGTGTTTTCATTAATACTGAATGAAGATTTTGTTTCCGAATCTATTAATGCTTTTGCTTCTTCAAGAGAGATCTTTCCACATTCCTCTGCTTTTGCAGAATTTTCCATTTTTGATTACTTCAACAGATGGTAAAACTTCATGAACTAACACAGAAATGGCAGAAATTTGATTTTACTTATAAACACTTTAAAACAATTTTAACCAGAAGCTAACCATTTAATTTCAGTGATCAACTAGGAATTTTTTTTAATTTCATAAAAATGTTAATTTATATTAATATGATTTTATGAATAGGCTAATGTGGGAGTACTAATTATAATCCCTAAACACTTCTATAATCTTACCCATAAAAGTCACTATTGATATTAAAATTGATAAATGAAGTGAGGGCATACTAGTTCCTTTTCTATTTTGATCCTTACTCTATAGTTTTGGTTCCCTAATTACAGGCACAGCAGAATATTTTAAATTTTTAAGGGAAGGATAGTGACATTGGATATCTGGAAGATACCCAGATATAGCTTCAAGTAGAGCACACCTTCAGCTGAAGAGATTACACTACATCCCTTTCAATGACTGTAAATTTGTGAAGCTGAGATTTTTGTTGCACAGAAGAAAATCGGTTAAACAGGAAATGAAGAAATGAAGTTGGTGATGTTGAATCTTATTTCAAGACCAGAGAAACTGTACAATGCCCAACAAGTGAAAAATTTCATTAGTAAAGATTCGTGGTTAACTAAGAATTAAACACAAATATTATTTTTTCTTTCAGTTTGTATATTATTTTTTAAAGTTGTTAGGACATAAATACTTAAATTCTTTGTACTAAACTACTTATGAGTGGTACTGTTAGGTATTTTTTTGGCCGAGAGACACTGGAAAAAAAACACAGAGGCACTAAGGCCATCAAGAAAGTTTGGGAACTTACAGTTGACTTCTGAAATCCCTATTTCATAATAGGTATCAGAATTAGGTAGAAAGTAAAGAGAGTGGCTTTGGACAAGAAGTTTAAAGACTCAGCCTGCAATTAAATAAACAGTAAGTCACTTTCAAATGTTCTTAGGCCTAATGGGACTGGGAGGGAAATAAGTGAACTATCTCCTGGACAGGGATTGTTACAGTGATCTATTGTCACTGTATAGGGATTTATTGTCAGAATTTACTTAACTCCTATTACAGAGGAGCTCCATGAGGCACTGTGCGAGTTAGTGTTCAAGAAGCTTACAGCTTATATAGCATTATTAAAATGTCAGGCTGTATTAATCAAAACAAATGAAGAAAGGAAAACAGACGTCCAAAACTCAGTGACTTTCTGTGAATTCAGAACGTGAAAGTTATGAAGGGGAGAGGGGTAGTCCTTTGAGTAAAGACATTTCTGAATATGCTAATGTGAGAGTACTAGTAAGAAATAGAGAACAAGAAATAAAGTTGCTTGAGGGAATGGATAAAAACAAGTCACTATGAATTAGGAAAGGTTTCAAGGGATATGAAGTTTCACTATCCAAGTTTTCAGGTCACAAAATACTAAGGCATTCCAAAATAGGAGGCGCTGAAACGGGGCGGGGGGAGGGAATCACCCAAAGAAAGTAATTTGCAGAATGACTACTTAAAATGATTACCTAGGAAAACTGGCTTCCAAATGATCAAATCCTTATCTCTGCCATTTATTTCCTAACGAACAGAAATTGGTTTTAAATTGAAATGAACCAATGTGATTTATCATCTTTAGCTGTAATTAACGCCTGAAATTATTATTGGGAATAGGTGTGAATTTTATTTATGTAGGCAACTCTACTTCCACAAATGAAATGTCATAAAAACAATAAATTTGGTCAGAATAAATGACAAATAATTCCAACCGACAACAGAAATGGTTAAGAATGTTTGAAACTGAAAGTCAGAGTGGAATGATGAATAAATTCCAAACGCAAAAGAGTTGCCCTTCAGAATCCTGAAGGAAGGAGCCTACGGAAAAAGAGTCAACTGACATCTAGTTGGCTATGCAATCAATAACCAAATAGACATTCCCACCTGGCTTTCCAATCACCTCTGAGGCAAGCAGTCTCATTCATTTCAGTTTCTCAGAGAACCAAGCAGAGCGCTAGCACCGCCGGTCTTAGGCTAAATTGATTAGCTCTCCGTTCTGACGCGGCAGATACACCGGGTCAACTCTAGGGCCCAAGAACACGCGACAAGGCAAGAATTTTTCAGCCAAGTTCACCCTTTTCCGTCGTCGACGCGGCCTAGCTCTTAAACAAACCTCGGCTCAGGTTTTAGATACGCCACTCAAGACACACACGATTCTGGACATCTGACATCCCCTTCCCTAGCCCACCCTCTAAGCGCTGCCCTGACGTGCGGCCTCAAACAGCTCTTCCAGCTTTTTCACACGGACTCGCAGCGTCTGGATGAGCAATAGCGCCCGGTGACTCCCACAAGTACTGCCCATTTTGCTCCGCACAGTAAACCCCTCGCAAAGGATACTGAAGGCACACGACTAACACTAAGAGAGTTCGTGTCAGCAGTCGGTGTGCCCCTTCCACTCGGATGGCGGCGGAGGGCTCAAACACAAAGAAAAGGAAGGCCGGAGTTTCAGCTACCACACTCACCGATACTGCCACCTTCGGTTCTGTTTGCGGAAGCAGGGACCGGCGCCACGCGAGTGTTGTTATCCTATTTCCGGGGAGTGCGCGGGTCACGTGACACCACTCTCGGCAGCGAGTGGAGCGTTGCGAGACCTTCAGGCCGAAACTACGAGTCCCGTCGTGCTGCGCGCAGTGGCGTACTGAGAGACGCGCCCAGCGGCACGGCAAGTCGCGAGCACGTTGCTAGTGGGCGCGGCTAGAGAGTGGTGGGAGGCTAGCGTCCTCTCGAACGGCGTGGGTTCCAGCATCCTGACGCACATTCGGCTAGGTCACTTTGTTGAGTGACACCATCGTGGCATCTGAGGAGCTGTCGTCCGGCCTGTGCGGCGGGAAGCGGCGGCAGCTTCAACGTCCTAAGAGGTAGCCTGGGCCTGAGACCTTTAAGGGCAGCGGGAGGAGTGGAGAGGGCACCTTCAACCTGGTTGCTTTGGGGACCAGACCTGGGGCGCGAACCCGGCGTGCACTGCTCCGCGGGCTGTGGCAGAGATCCGCCTGCGGGGCAGGAGTCATCCACATTTGCCTGCCCTGCCACCCCGGCTGCCGAAAGAGGTCACCCCCACCCTTCTCTTTGGGGCCAGTGTCCGGACAAATCCTGCCTTTGAGACTTCTTTTCAGCTTTCTGCTCTGTAACCCTTCATCCCCTCCCCTTCCCGTCCTCAGAACCCTGCTTAGGAGAGTCCTGGGTGTCCCCGTTCTCGGAGTTGTGTTAAGAATGAGCAACATCTTCCTTCTTAGGAACTGGCAGATTATTCTGTACCGCTGTGTTTGGGAAGCTGTGCCACACCTCCCTCCGGTGGGGCCTTTCTAGCCTCTCAGATTCTGAAGTCAAAGGTAGACCAAACTTCTCCTTGAGAAAAGCCTCACAGTGTAGTATTCTTTGTTGTCTGGACGTTGATATGGGATGGCTGGGTAGGTAACACTTTCTTCACCCATCTCCCCAGATCTCCGCTGTAGAGTCAGAGGCACCTACTGTACTGAATTTGGAAAGATCCGTAGATGAGGGCATTCAACTGAGATTGGGGTGAAAACTGTACCTGTGGACTAGGATAATTGGTGGGTGTACATGTTAAATTTGCTATGCCTCAGCACCTCCCCACATTAAGGGTGTAAAAAGGTGATCATATTTGCAATCCATCTTGAATTGATCCTTTTAAAAGCAGCTTTGAAAATGTGTTTTACCAGCCTGCCTACTTGTAAATACGGGCAGTTATATCAATGAGTAGACTTTGCTTTGAGGAAGGCAAAATTTGCAACATGTACTTTCTTTACAATCCAGTCACTTCTAAATTGTGGGCATTAACCTTCTGAGGTTTTGATCCCTTATAAACTTTGAACCAAGAATTTATAAGGCCTATTTTTAACAAATGAGGATGAGCTGTCAATTTTAGATGACTTTGCTTGTATTTTTACTATGTTCAGTGAGCTAGGTTGAGAATTAACTTCAGTTCATTTATATTGACTGCAAACGTATAGGTCTTAGAGACTGAACATACTATTTGCACATCCAGGCATTAGAAATAAGCAATTACATAGTCCTATTTGCTGGTTCTGATGCTGAAGTTTCTGGAGATAATTGCAGTTGTAACTTCAGGGAAAATGAATCCAATTTTGACTTTTTTAAGAAATTTTCTATTAAATTAAAAGTCTCTTACTATGTGTTTACACAAACCGCATAATGAATTGCTGTATGTGCGAGATAGAGAACTCACATTTTGTAGTTTTTTAAAAACTAAACGAAGTCATGTAAATTTATTTGAGAAGAACTCGAAAGTAGTAATAATGGAGGGAGAAAATGGATCAGATAAAAATGTTCTAAAAGTTGCTCTTTGTGTTATTTTTCCCATTATTATATGTGTAATACCTGGTTTTCTGGAAATTGAATTAAAATTAAAATAACTAGTATTTTAGTACCTTCCCTGTGCTATATTAAGTGCTTTATTCGTTTGAACTCATTTAATTCTTACATAATCCAATGGGATAGTTGTTATGATTATTTTTGCATTACAGATGAAGGTTAAATAACTTGGCCAAGGTCGTGCATCTGGAAATTAGTGGGACTAGGATTTGGACCCAGGTGGTCTAGCTCCAGAGACCAAACTCTATGTTAATATTGAAACAGTGCCTTCTAGAAAGCCAAACTTAGGGCTGGAAGTTGGCTGGCACTTAGTAGATTTTCAGAAAATGTTTTGATACTTATTAATACTTGGGTTATTATTCTCAGAGAAAAATAGTTGGGCAAGGATATCTTGCTAGAATGTGAGATCCAGCAAGAGAGGATCATCATTTTGTTCAGGAATTTAACCCAGGTGCCTTGAACTGTGCCTGGCATATAGCGGTGCTTATTTAATAAATGAATTGCTACAAGAGGATTTTTAAGTCGATTTTTAAAAATAGGACAGATGAATTATTTCAACCCATTTATAAGATTTCTTGTGTGCCGTTTTGATTATTTGGCCCATCATTCACCCACTCACGCCACCTGGTTTGGATTTCTCCTGGTATGGATTATACTTTATCAGTGAGAGAAGATGAAGTAGCAATTTATAAATTTTCTGGTCAGATTAAGGGCAAGCAACAGATTCAATAGATAACATCCTTCTTTTTAAGTTATTCTCAAAATGATTTGGTGTTTTAAAGTGTGATTTCTGATGTACAGTTAAAGAGCACATTTTTGAAACATACACATTGTTTATAAATATAGGTACAATGTTATAGCTTCCTAAAAATTCTTTTCTTCCAGGTAGGAAAGAGGTGATTTATGGAAGGGTTGTTTCTCTAAAACGTCTTAGAGGAAAGACTGACCCTCCAGTTCACTCACAAAGTACCCCTACTAAAATTTTACTGCCTTTTTGAATCACATAAGATATTCTTGTTTAAAGGGTTTTTTTTTTTTATAGTTGAAAGTAAAATTTGGTCGAGAAATATCTTAAGATTTTTATGGGTAGTAATTCATTTTATATGTTAACTAGGCTGTAGTACCTAGTTATTTAATAATTCACTATCTAGGTGTTACTGTGATGGTATTTTGAAGTTGTGGTTAACATTTAAAATCAATTGACTTTATGTAAAGGAGATTACCCTCAAAAATGTAGATGGACCTTACGGAATCAATTGAAGACCTAAATTTCAAACCAAAGTGTTACAAGAAGAAAAAGTTCTTCCTCAAGACTGCAGCATTGATTTCTGCCTGTGTTTCCAGCCTGCATACCTGCTCTACAGATCTCAGAGTTGCTAGCCCCACAGGAGTGTGAGCCAGTTCCTTAAAATAAATCTGTATTTATTTATTTGTCAAATAATCTAATAATAGATTTCTAATAGAAATATCTATCTAAAGAGAGATAGGTAGATAATATATATATCTTTTTCTCTTATTGGTTCTGTACCTTTAGGGAACCCTAGCTGATTCAGATTTTGGTACCGAGAGTGGATCTAAAGGAACACAATCTTAAGAATGAGTTGTTTGAATTGATTGTGGTGTTCGTGGAATTGGTTTCTGAATCTGGTTAGATTTAAAGGCACTAATGGCTATCTTTATTTTTAATATATATTTTATCGATTATGCTGTTACAGTTGTCTATTTTTTCTTCCCCTTTATTCCTCTCCACCTTGCATCCTCCATCCCACCAGCATTCCCCCCGCCCCCTTAGTTCATGTCCGTGGGTCATACATATAAGTTCTTTGGCTTCTCTATTTCCTATACTATTCTTAAATTCCCCCTATCTACTTTGTACCTCATATTTAGGCTTCTTATTCCCTGTACCTTTTCCCCCATCCTTCCCCCTCCCTCTCCTGTCTGATCTCCATTTCTGTGATTCTGTTCCTGTTCTAGTTGTTGCTTAATAGGTTTGTTTGTTTGTTTGTTTGTTTTTGTTTTTGTAGGTTCAGTTGTTGATAGCTGTGAGTTTGTTGTCATTTTACTGGTCATAGTTTCTGATCTTCATCTTTTTCTTAGATAAGTCCCTTTAACTTTTCATATAATAAGGGCTTGCTGATGATGAACTCCTTTAACTTGACCTTATCTGGAAAGCACTTTATCTGCCCTTCCATTCTAAATGATAGCTTTGCTGGATAGAGTAATCTTGGATGTAGGTCCTTGCCTTTCATGACTTTGAATACTTTTTTTCAGCCCCTTCTTGCCTGTTAGGTTTCTTTTGAGAAATCAACTGATGGTCTTATGGGAACTCCTTTGTAGGTAACACTCTCCTTTTCTCTTGCTGCTTTTAAGATTCTCTCCTTCCCTTTAATCTTGGGTATGTAATCATGGTGTATCTTGGTATGTGCTTCCTTGGGTCCAATTTCTTTGGGACTCCCTGAGCTTCCTGGATCTCCTTGAAGTCTATTTCCTTGGCTAGATTGGGGAAGTTCTCCTTCATTGTTTGTTCAAATAAGTTTTCAATTTCTTGCTCTTCCTCTTCTCCTTTTGGCACCCCTATGACTCAGATGGTGGAACATTTACAGTTGTCTCAGAGGTTCCTAAGCCTCTCCTCATTTTTTTGAATTCTTGTTTCTTCATTCTGTTCTGGTTGAGTGTTTATCTCTTCTTTCTGCTCCAGATCGTTAATTTGAGTCTCAATTTCCTTCCCTTTACTGTTGGTTCCCTGTATATTTTTCTTTATTTCACTTTGCATAGTCTTCACTTTTTATTCCATTTTGTGATCATACACAACCAATTCTGGAGCGTCCTGATTACCACTGTTTTGAACTGTGCATCTGATAGGTTGGCTATCTGTTCTTTGCTTAGTTTTATTTTTGGAGCTTTGATCTGTTCTTTCATTTGGGCCATATTCCTTTGTCTCAATGCGCCTGTTATGTTGGAAGGGGCAGAGTCTTAGGCATTTGCCAGGGTGGGGCAACCAAGGTCATCGTGTTGTGGCTTTGTATATGGGAGAAGGGTCCAAGAAGGAACAATGCCACTTGTTTGTCAAGTCACCTTCCCCACTACCCATGAGCTAATTGGGCCCTTTTAGTGCTGCTTCCAGGGTTGGTGTGTTTGTGTATTTTCTAGGACCCTGTGGGTCTCTCCAATGAATTGTCCTGAGAGGCTGGGAATTTATCCCACTGCCACAACTCCCATAGGTTTTTCCAGCCAGAGGTTTTAAGACTTTATTTTCCCTCACTGGAACCTGGGATTGCATGATCTGTGTTTCCTCCCAGCTGTTCTCGGTTTATCCGCGTATAAATGTGGTACTGCCCAGTCTGCCAGTTGCTGCCTGACCTGCTTGGTCCTTTAGCTGCTTCCTTACCATGTGTCCTGTCCGCCCTCACTGCCTGCTTCCACCCCTCCTACCGGTCTGGATGAATGTCTCTTTAACTCCTTGGTTGTCGGCTTCCCATACAGTTTGATTTTTTGGCTATTCTGG